TACTTTATTTAATATTTAATTTTTTTTTATAAAAGTCTACCTCATTTTACATTTAATTAACTGAATATAAATGCGCATTTAAAAATTTATAAAAATCCAAAAAGCATTAACCAAAATTTCAATCTATTTACTCAGCATTTTTAGAAAAATTTAAGGTGCGCAGTTTTATAGCGCCCATTAATTTATAATAGGATTAAATGCAAGTTTCCGTTGATTTTTTGGGATTTCATTTACGATGCTGGGCAATTTCTTCCATCTTCTTTCGAACATAATTTGTGTAGAAGATAATGCGTAACACCGCCAGCAAAAAAATTATTTAATGGGCTATAAAGTTGCGTAGCTAGAATTTCTCTAAAAATTCTTAGTAAAAAGTTTGACACAGGTTGAAACAAAACAATTTCAAAGCACACTAAGCAATCAATATACTAACGACGCTATGGACCAAATATAGTAAAACTGCGTTTTTAGTTTTAAAAATTTTTTATCAGAACTCCAAAAATTATTTAAAAAATTTTGTGCAACGTAGAATAGGATGTAATTTATAACAAAAAACAAAACCGACTTCAATTCTCATATAAAAATTTAAGATTATCGTTAATCTCTTCATGATCCAAAGATCGGATTTGAGCCAAGTTAATATGGGACCACCTGTGTGGTTACTTCTTTCATTTAAAAAAAGAATTATAGAAATCGGTTAACATGGTTTAAAGTTATGTGGTAACATGCATAAAAAAATAATATTCCGACGAACTGATAACCTTTATCCTTTTTGTGAAGTTTATATTAGTACTCAACATATAATTTTTTCAAAATAAATAATGCAACATTTCAAGGATATTCACGGACGAATTTTTAAAAGCAGATTTTCACCAAGAAGTTTAATTTGTTTTTTCTCTACAGAATTTTCTCTTTAATTTGATACTCATACTGTTTTTCTTAGTACATGGCACTGAATTTTTTAAATAAATTTCTGAACTACTGATATTATTCAATTTTCCAAGGCCTTTTAAAAAATACTAGCGTCAGAGAGAAAAACTAAAAACGCAAATTTACTGCATATATTTGGCCCATGGCTTCGCGATATATTGATTTTTGTGTGTGTAAAATTGCCTGTCGCACGGTGTTAAGTGTCTGTATAATTAGCTAGACATTTGTAAAAAAAAAAATATTCAGCCCTATCGCCAATTCCGTGTGCATAAATCGTTCCCACAATTTAACATGAAAAAAAAAAAAGTTATAAAACTTTATAAAAATTAATGACGTTTTCTTTTCTACCGAAAAATTTTACCTTCCCGTTTCGCACAAATATTAAGGAGAGCGCAATGAGTTGGCAAAAAAAAAATCCGAATTTACTTCTTCACATGCTTTTTTGGACCAACCCAATGTACATCCTCGAAATTTGTCCATATAACTTTATAAGTTTAGGATAAAAAAAATTATTTCAATGGACATTTTCAGCAGCTATGCGTCCTTGCGAGCCAAAAAAAAACTACAGAGTTTTCTTTTTAATTTGGTACCGACATTAATGTTCTTCATTTCAATGAACTTTTTAACTAATTTTTTTGAATCAATCATAGCCTTGAAGTGTCTAAAAAAAAAAAAACTGACGTCAAAGAGAAAACCAAAAAATGCAGTTTTACTATATTTGGCCACCAGTTTCGTGAGCTTTTTGATTTTTTCTTGTGTTTTGAAATATGTATTTTGGTTTTTTGTCGCACTGTTTTATTCGTTAGATTTCTGAAGATCCCAGACTCGAATGCCGTCAGACGCAACATGTTCAAATGATAACACAAATTTTTGTTTTGTGTTTTCAAACCTCGAAAAAGCATATGTGAAGTGCAAAACAACCGCCTAACAAAAATTTATTTAAAGGCTACAAAAGTTTAAAGGCTATTAAAAGTTGACATATCTTTGACATACCTTTTCACTCTTAGCTGCCGAAATGTACTCTCAGAGCCGTAGAGAAGAATTCGGGCCCGAGAGGAATCTCAAATGTGGGCCACTAAACAGAGCAAATCCGTCAGAAACGGCCGACGTTGTGGTGGACAATTAGTGGATTTTGCTTGGCGATAATGCACCTTCTTATCGACTCACTATTGAAATGGAATTTAAAACAAAACACAACAAATACATTTCATCAGCCATCAACTAAATTCTTCTCATATAACTTCGTGCGAAATTCATGGCAGGGATTGAAATCTGTGTTATATCTAAGAGAGCCTACTTCGAAGAGGACAAAATACATTTTTATTAAATGAAAATTTAACAGTACCCGGTACTTTTTTGATAGAAGGTACATGTGTCCCTTCATAAAAACATATTAAAAGCTTTATAAAATTCATGATGTGAGTATTTATTCGAAATACTTATAACGGTTTTTGGTTAAAAATGACGTTTTTTCAGGGACCGAACATAACAGTTATTGATGAAAACTTGAAAACTGTCATTGAAAAATTCACTATGAAGGAAATGTTTTACAACTAAGTGATACATCCTAATCGATTTGTTTTTTCACCGATAATTTGAAAATAAATTTTCATTTATACTTAAATAATCGGTTTATAACAGTTATTGAAGACTTTTATTAATAATAGTCATCAATAAAAATCAAGCACCGACTTTTATTTTTTAAATCATACGTATAAAAGTCACTGCCATTTTTCGCAGTTAAGAAGGTATTGGAGACTTATACAAATGACTTTTATAAGTATGGTTTTAAAAATAAAAGTCAGTGACTGATTTATATTGATAACTTTTATATATAATTTAAAATTCTTATAATTTAAAAATCAAAAATAACTGTTATTTGCTAGATACATGAAAATCAAAAATAATCGTTATTTGGGATTTTTAAAATAAAAATCAGAAAAAAACTGTTATTTAAGGAGTAATTATATAAAAGTCGAAAAATAATGGTTAAAGAGTGATTAGTTAATAAAAGTTGCAACTCTTACGGTCCCTGCGTTTTTTAAGACTAAATGAGACGTCTTTCCATAGCGACGCCTCGCAACAGTGTAGTACTACGTATTAGGAGGCACAGAAAATCATTCGAAAGGTTTGAAGAAAATAATGGCGTTTTCTTATCTCGGAAAAAATGTCACCTTATTTATGGCAACATTATAGAGTGCAACATTTTAAAGAAATACCACGCAATATGGATGTGAAGATGCTGAGATAAGAACACGAAAACTTGACAGCCCTGGCGCAGGGCAGAATAAATGCAACATTATTTCGAGAAAAGAAAACGCTATACGTTTTTTTTTGTTCTTTTGTTCGTGTACACACACACACACTCGTTAGCGTTTAGCTCCTGCAAAGCCACGCTAATGCCTACATCAATNCGTTTTTTTTTGTTCTTTTGTTCGTGTACACACACACACACTCGTTAGCGTTTAGCTCCTGCAAAGCCACGCTAATGCCTACATCAATGCAATCGATACCTGGCCAAACTTATTGACCATTGACCGAGCACTCAGAAGTAACTGCTGCACGAGACGGTCATTAAATACTTCGTTTATGTGCATTAGGGTGGTCCAAAAATGCATGTGAAAAATAAAGTCGGAATTTTTATGCTCTCACCCCTTAGGATTGTTCTATATAGAAAAAATATACCTCATTTTTTTTTTACATCAAAGACTATTTAGAGGTCGCTGAAGGTGCTGAAAGTTTTCCATGTATGTTATATGCTGAAAACGATGGTATAGAATTCTTGAAAATCAATATTTTGTGATGGGAAAACCCTGCTTCTCTTCAAAAGATTCCCAATAATAATACCCAATTATTTATTTAACCATTTCTTTATAGTAACTATATTTGATGGTCCGCCAAAACCCCCGGAAAATGCAATGGGGGGATAAATAAAAAATCTTTAATATTAAAAAATGGTTAAATAAACAATTGGGTATTGTTATTGGAGGTCTTCTGAAGCGAATCAGAGTTTTCCGATCAAAAAGTGTTGATTTTCAAGAATTCTATACCACTTCTATGAAAAGTGGTTTTTTTCCCCTTATAAAATGCATGAGCGCTTTGAGCGACCACTAAATATTTTTTGATTTCAAAATAAAAAAATATACGTATATTTTTTCGATATAGAACAATCCTAAGGGGTGCTGGCATTAAACCTCCGACTTTTCTTATTTTGGACCACCCTAATTTGCATGCATATACATACATATATATGTATTTGTGTATGTAAGTATGCGTGTCCACACCCTACCCTGCAAAAAATTGTGCGACTAATCTCTAAAGAGAGTATTCCAATACACTAAGAAAAGTGGTTTGGCTATGATCTGCTACTGGTTGAGGTGTTTACAGTTAAGCCGTGGGTGTAAATTAGCAGAGCGCGCTTAATACGACATTAACAACAACAACGACAAAATCACAACCACGCCGACAACAAATCGGATTTGGGCGAGTAATTGGCAAACGTAGACAGAGATAAAAGACGTCAAGTGAAGCGCAAAGGTGTAAAAGAAAGGAAACCGGAAAAATTCAAGAAAAATAAAGTGAAGAAAAACAAAGTAAGTGCTGCCGTGTAGACATGAAGACGTGCAATGGACAACGTGGGTGTGTCGAATGAAAAAAAAACTATACAAAAACTATTGTGCAAAAAATAAAAGAAAACGCCTCAGTGATGGCCATGCGTTGTCTGAGCGCTAATAGTTTAGCTTTCGCATAGTCACACATATACATACATGTATGTATGTATGTAAGTAAGTGCACACAAAGTTAATATGTATATTGATCGTTCTGGCAGCTAACAATAAAACACATTGCATGTTACTCATACGCAACGTGTTACCCATAGATGACAACGACGAAAGTGCAGCTAGAAATTGCTACACCACTAATTCACTTTGCTTAGTATTTACATTTGTCAGCGTAGTTATGCTTTCACACCCTCTTTTCACCCCTTTGCCGCTCTCTTTCATGCTCTCTCTCTCTCTCTTCTTGCCTGCTTCGGCATACGCTTTCTTCTCGCACACATTTTTTGCACTTACCTCATCGATAAACTCGAAGTCGCCACCATTTTCGCCTACATATTTCTTTTTCTTGGCATCAGCGCCGCTCAGACCGGATGACATCAACACCAGACAAGCGGTGGTGATCAAAAGTAAACACCTCATTTTTTCTAGTGTTTTATAACAACAGCGGCAACGATACGAGCGAACGTAATGAGCAAACGTTTGGTTTTTTTTATCGTCCTTTTTTCGAGGATTTTTTTTTTTTTTTTGTTGCCTTGATTACGTTTTTCACCGTCAAGTGCCTTAATGACCCGGGTAATTTACGTTTGTAATATCCGCTTCCTTTAAATTCTCCTTAATTACGTGCATGCACCGTTGGAACTCGCAATTTTAGATATATATCTTTATACATATGTACATATATATGAAGTATTTTCACCGTTTTTCTTTGTATCGCACAGCTAGAATGAAATATATTTTCTTATAATTATACTACTTTATAATATTCCTTGGTGTTTGTTATTGTCTGCGAAAGTAGAAAAATTGCGCACACACATGCATACACATAGGTGCATACATACATACATACCAGCTGCACAACTACCAATGCAACTGCCCGAAAGGCATGCGCAAAGGACGAGCGAGTTTTTCACACCACCCGCAAACGCATTCGTTACAATTATATGTTTATACAGTTACTGTTACAATTACAGTCGCCAGCAAATTGGAAATACTTATTTATCGAGTTTTCCTTATACTTATAGATTTGTAGCTCTGTATGTATGTACATATGTGTATGAGTTTGTGTGCTGTNAGTTTTCCTTATACTTATAGATTTGTAGCTCTGTATGTATGTACATATGTGTATGAGTTTGTGTGCTGTTTTTTTTCTGTATTACTATTTAATTTAGTTCGTATTACTGCACACGAGCGTTCACACGCTGTCTTATTTTATTTTACTTTGCTCACAGTGTTCGCACGCACACCAGTGCATATACACGCAAGGATTTATAGATATATCTACATACATATATATATATATATATATAGACAATTAGCACTTTGTTGGGCTCTGCTAAGTATGTGCCGTTTGTTGAAATGAAAATCCTTTTCATCCGCCTTACAATTTACAACACTTTTAGCCACCGCCGCGTTCGAATATAAACTGAAATTGGTTTGTCCCTGTTGGAATGCGCAAAAATCATTGATGTGATTTTTATAAGTATTGACTCGACGCATGCGGGTTCACAGTATGAGAGAGAGAGAGAGAGCAGCTTAGTGCAGTGGTTGGAGGTCGTGTTGTTGGCGGTTTTGATTATGGAATAAAACCTGCATTCTCTTCGAATGCAGTGAGAGTATTTCTAAAACATATAGTCGATAAATGGTAAATGGTGGTCATGTGGAATTCTAGCAATCGTCGTTTCTTAAATAGTATAAGTTGAAAAAGTGATGTCTGATGTCTAAATTGCTTCAAATAGTGAGGAGTTAGTAAAAGAAGCCATCGGAAATTGATGGGGTCTCTCTTCAAATGATTTCGACTGGCTGTATAAAATCATAGTCAATTCATTTACATATCTGTTATGGAGTCATTATTTTGCGGTTGGTTGTTTGGTTGAAGCACTTCCTTAAAGATTTTTAGGGTCCAATTATCGCATTTGCACCAGTTCAATGCACTTCTCGCAGGAAATGTCTTGGGTGGGTATGTAGGTAGGCGTGACTGTCGCCTGAAGCGACCAATTTAGGCCATGCATAGGAGGTAAGTTATGTTACCATAGTCTGACACCGTTCAATTATCCCCCGTGCTGAACCATTTCGTGTCACTGATGGATCTCATCATGCATCTTGCGTCGGTGCTTGAAGCCTCAGCAAGGTCAGCCTCAGCCTACTGCTTCATACAGGATATGCAGAACCATTTCCTCGTCTTCGTAGTTCTTAAAGCTTCTGCAACACCTTCGGAAAGGTCCGCCGAGCCTTTCTGCATGTTAGATATATCCTCTTTTCTCACAGAATATACGCTTCGTGACTGTTTTCGATCCCATTTAGGTCACGACTGCCTGGAAATTCGACAAGTCGTACTTTGACCACATCTTTCGCCAGCTTCTTTGTATACAAATCCTTTGAGTATCAGCCTGCTGAGCTCAGAGCTTTGAGTGTAGCCGGGCTATCACTAAAAACAAAAACGAAATAGATGTCGACTCCCAGCTTCTCTACAGCCTCCAAGACAGCTCAAACCTCAGCTTGTAATACACCGCAGTAGTCTGGTAAACTAAAATAAATGTTTAAAGTAGGATTTGGTGCGACGACATCTTCTCAGCGAGTGCTTTCATCTGTTGTCCTAGCAAATCTAGTGGAAGAAAATCTTAAATAGCATTCGGAGCATCATTTGGCGTGATTCTGAGCGCTCCGCGTATGCATATCATACTAGACTTTTGCATCCTGGTCAGCAGCCTAAGTTTGACCTCTCTTTCTAATACAAGCCAAAATACAAGGCAAGGCGATTGGCGTAACGACTGCTATAAATATCCATCGAGGAATCCACGGATTGAGGCTCGATTTCTTGACTGTGGCCCCTTTACAAGTATAAGGGGCTAAGGAAGTCTTCTCGTAACGCTCAATCATATTTTCCTTCCAGTTCAACTTGATCACCACCTGTTTCTAGTCGGCCCAAGAAATGCAGGATTATTTCTCTTTGGATCACTCTAATGGGGCAACCCAGTATAACCGCTTCGGATTCAACCAAATAGGCCAAACCATAAGTTTTCTCATCGTCTTCGTTTTTCCAATGTCCGGGAATTCAGACAAGCTCGACAGTGGTTGACTGAGACGTTGAGGGCAATTCCATTTTGCATTCCACAACCAGCTTAAATTTGGTGATCGGATATTCCCACTTATAATAGCGACGCCTTGCTGTCAGAATGTATTGTTGCTTGGAAGATGCTGATATCCTTTTTTCTAGACGTGTAGACAGAGAAGCATCGGGTATTTTCCTTATTTTCTGATTGGGAATAGAACTTACGCACTACAGCATCTAATGGCCATTCCATTGCCTAAGTGTTTGCCTGATGCTTTGAGTCTGACCGCCGATTTCATAGCCACTTCTTTCGCTTTTGTTTTGGGATGGCGCCTCCGCTACTCCTGCACCATCTGCTCTTTGGTTTCTTCAAAGTATACTAACAATTTATTAGCCCAAGTAACCAAACAAGGGCTCCGTTTGTCAAGATTGGTCTGCTGAATATTCTCTTCCAAGTGTACGTAGTATACTGTGTAGGCCTGTTGTAATCCAATAGAAAAGTCTACAATAGCTAATAAGTTGGAGCGAGTACAAAAGAAAATTTTTGGAATTAGCAGAACGCGGCGAACCGCTTCCACTCTAACGATATACTTAGCGTCGTACACGTAGATATTGCAGGTTAGGCGAATAAAGCAGTCGATTGGCCTAATATCCTAAATATTTACTCCGCCAGCCAAGCGGTAATTGGGGCTGTAGGATCGTCTACGCTTCGATGATGGGTATGTCAATTCATAAGACCAAATTTCGCTTAACAGCAGATGCATGCGCCTAACCAGCTCTTCGCCGCCGGTTTTGAGCAGCTTAGCCGTTATTCCATTTACTCCGGGAGCTTTGTTGCTTTTAAGCCGAATTATTGCTGTGCATACTCACTACGTCTAGGTCCAGTTAAGAAAAGTATGCTTCGTCCCTATACATTGTGGTCTGTGCCCCTCTTCGTCAAACGCGCAACTTTTGTCGCAATTCAAAAGCTATAAAAAGTGTTCCTTCATATCTCAACGATACTATGGACGTCTTTTACCAGATTTTCAACGCGGTCTTGACGGGAACGCACACCGGTCTTGAAACCATTAGTTTGCTTCCTCAGTTAGAGTCGCAATCCTGTCGCTTTGTCATCGTTTTAGGTTTTTTGCACTCATCCTCAGAAGGTTAGGTTAAAATTTCTTGAGGTATGCCATTGCAATCTTCATTCCCCCACAATGTTGCGACGCTCAGTCGGGATCAAACCATTTCGTTAACGTAATGAATTTCCTGTAGAGATGGTTTTCCGAGCGCATGTAGTCGTCTTCTGTTTAATAGTGAGCAGTGGCAGATAAGGTGCTGCACATTTCCAACTCTTCTTCGAATCTATATTTGCAACTGTAGTCCGGTGCGCTCACTCCTAAATAGTCTCGAGGCCTTTACGCCAATTAGACAGTGACCTGTAGCATTTCTTGTCAGCATGGGTGTTTCGCTCCGTTTTAACGCCATGAGTATAGACATGCGTTTTTAGCGTGAGAAGGCCACGTAAGCCTAGCGGTTTCACCGAAGGGTAGGTTTCTCCAGCGTTAAATTCCTGCCGCAAGCAGTGGAATCACTTTCCTGCTAATTATGTACCGCAGATGAAGAAATAATCGATTTTCAGGGAGAAGATAGAAAGATATCGCCTATGGGCCCACGCTGTGATCTAGCGTAACGAAAGCTGTTTGGTTTTGTTAAAGCGAACTGAAGAAGTCCGGAAAATATATAAATTATGGAAGAAACACTTTGCCACCCTACTGAATTGTAATAAGCAGCACTGAAGGTAGGGAAGAATATGAACCCGAGCGCCCAGTCGAGGACAACGGAAGCGAGGTACAAATAGAAGTTTTGCGACTGAAAACCAACAAAGCTGATGTAGCTGAGAGCCTGCCAGCTGAACTATGCAAGTGTGTCACACTCACCCTTTTCTAATTCTATTTTCCTCCTCTTGCTCACATTGCAAAATGCACATTTACGTATATACATACGTGTACAGCGGGCCACTATCTCCGAAGCATACGCCCGCTTGCAGCGCCACCTACTAGTAAGCAGACATTTCTGACTTCAGTATACCCCTGAACTGAGTAAACGAAGCTCTGGCGCAAGATTCGGGATTAAATATGGTCTCACAACTGTAACTGCATACCCAGACGAACGACCACCACATTGCACTCCGAATTAATTTTTATACCCGAGCGCACTTGTGCACAAGGGTATATTAATTTTGTTCACATAACGGTTGTTTGTAACAGCCAAAACGAATCGAGATAGATATAGACAAATGTATACATAAATGATCAG